ATCTTCTTTTTCTTGTTTGAGTACAGCTCCGTCGCTCCCAATATTCGATCTCTGAAAGAAAACTCCATCAGGACCAGAGACTTCACGAAGCTGTTGGACTCTATTTGCTGGTATACGAAATAACGCTGATATCACACGCCGACCTGCATCATCCTCATTGAACATGCGCCCGCTGTAGCATATTACTTCCAGGTCCGTCGGGATGAGCTTGGTCTTCACAATATTGGCCATCTCGGCGTCCAGAACGCGCCAAGGCGGCAGCTCGTTGTACTTCTTACGTTGGCCTCCTCCTCCTGCTTCAGCTCGCTTGTCGCGGGCTGCTGTAGCTTGTCGGTGAAGACGTGCCAGTTCTTTGAATAGCTTCTCTGTCGAGTGTTCTTCCAAGACCGCCACAGACATGAGAACCTCTGACTGGCACTCGATCTTTGTGGGGACACGCGTAGGTTTGATATCCGTACCCTGCACACCAACGTGTTGACAGACAAACAACTTGCGTAGCTCACGGCGTCCATCTGGGTGGGTAAGCGGTACACTTAATAATGATATTTTATCCGTCAGCCCTCTTTGTGCGCACTGAAGGACAAGATCTTTCGGAAGACTATCTGGCGGCTGCGCCAAGACGAATCCAAAGGGGTCGTTCGGCAACTCTTTGCTCCAGAAATCCTTATCTGACAGAAGCTGCGCCAGCTCGTTCACGGTGACCAGGTGGATCCGCTTCATGTCATCATATTGCGATGGTAGCCCACGTACAGTCGGTAGTGACCAGTCTGCTTCGTCGAGCTTGGTTGTCAGCTGCCATGTCGGCTGTGGTGTGGTCGCTGACTTCTTTTTCTTTTTCACTTTCTTCTTCTTGGGCTCCGAGTCCGTGTCAGGGAGCTTCGAGCCGAGCGGTCTCTCCTTGAGCCACTTGGTGATCTCTGGAAAGATTTTCTCGGCCCCCATCTTTGATATTTCTGCCATTCTTTCTTTGCTGATGTTCCGCAGGTGGTCATGCGTCTTCTGAGCCTGGGATACCTCTTTCATCTCGAGCACAGTCATGACTCGAGACGCCATCATCGCTGGAGTGTTGGCCAGCTTCGCCAGTCGTTTGCGTAGTGCAGTCTTCGCCCCCGGCCCATTGCCATGGAGCGCATGCTGAAGTCGATTCCACGCCTGGTGGGTGATAAGCCACCTATATCCAAGTGAATATTCTCGATCCCCTGGAAAGATGAAGCCCCAACAACATCTCTCCACAAAATTGATGCTAATATTCTGAAGATAATATATGTGGACGTACTTCGCGACGCAATGGACCATCTCGTGATACCCATCATCCGTCGTCATGACAACCGAGAACCTGAAGCTGTGGTTCAGAAGGCTGTACGTCTCGGCAGAGTCGCCCCTGGAGTCCCTGATGGGGCCCCTCTGGTCGAACTCCACTATGTCACCGTTGTCCTCGTTCTCGTGCTCGCGCTTCTCGTCGTCCCCGTTTTTGTCTTGGTCGTCGCTCTCGTTTTCATCCTCGCCTCTGCCCTGGTCGCCGTATGCGTCTTGGCCATCACCACTCACGGGGGAAGGGGGTCGGGATGAATCTGGGGTAGCATCAACATTCCCCCTCGTTTCAAAAAGACGATCGGCATGCAGCTTCCGAAGCACCCCCGCGTCGGAAAGGGACACCGATTTTTAGTGTACTTTAAAAAACCTCCGCCCGCCCCCCGCCCCCCACCCCCACCCCCCTAGAAAGAAAGGGGAGTAACAATGAAGGGGGTGTGGGGCAGCTTGAGACTGGAATCCCCCCTTTTAGTTTCCAGGTCCCACGACGACGCTCTCTCCTGTGTGTGCGTAGACACTGCAGTGCCCCAGTCAACCTCTTCCTCCTCGTCATGCGATCCTCCGCCGCAAGGGCTTACGTACTCACAGACGGCACCCAGGTAGCTACCCGGCTGGCCCGAAGAGGCACCCAGGTAGTTCCCGGGCTCTTCAGACTCAGGCACGCTTATTTGCATGGCATTTTCTCCCCGCCCCCCGCCGCCCCTTCAAGCCGCGCTGGGCCGAAAAAGGCATGCGAGTTGGTCTCGGCCTGCTTGAAGTCCAGATCCTCTTTCGGGCCCTGCCACGCCCTCTCACCCGGTCGTGTGGGTAAACTTGCTGGGTCTGCATTTGTCCATTTATTCTTCTTCTTCTTCTTCTTCTTCTTCTTTTGAAAAGCAAGCCTCTGGTCCCAGACTCACCGAGCGCGTTCCACGACTGGCAAGGTGCCTGCTCGCAAACGTCCGAACAAAACATGTCTTCCTTTCCGCCATGGATCATAGAGTCGGGGCCCTGAAGAAGGAACCCTTTTCGTTGGGGAGGGGCTCGGTGTTCCTTGATTGTTTCAAAGTTTGCCTCGGGTTTTCCTGAGGTTTTCCAGGGGAAATCGAGGTTGAACGTATGGGAAAAGAGGGCCTCGTTCCTTATCTAGGGTTCCTTGGGTCAACGCCCCGACTGCACGTCCCCCGCGGCGGATCCAGGCCATCTGCGAGCAGCTACTTTGCGGGTCGTGGCACGCGCTTGCCGACAGGCGCTCCCTTAAGTGTTTCACAGCTTGCCTCAGGTTTTCCTTATGTTTCCGATCGGAAATCGAAGTTTAACTTCTGGAAAAAAGGGGCCTCGTTCCTTATTTATGGTTCCTTAGGTCAAGGCCCCGACTGTAGCCAGTTTGCGAGTCGTGGCACGCGCATTGCCGACGGACGGTCTTGGCAAGCCCCCTCCCGGGGCGCGAGGGGCGCAGCCGGTGGCGGGCGGCCGCGGGTGTGTGGAGGCCGCCGGGGGCGGCCCTGTGCGGGCGTGCGGGAGCCGGCCCCGGGGCAGCGGGGAGGCCCACTTGCGGGCAATAGTTATATCCACATCCAGTGCGTCTTGGATTCTTGGGCTCTCTTCCCCATGCAGAAACCGTAGACGCACTGGATATGGATAAAAATCTGGCCCCAAGAGGCTTGATTTTATCCACATCCGGTGCGCCTCGGCGTTGCGCCGGGGCAGAGGGGGGGCCCAATGCCAAGGAGCACCCTGCCTGCCTCCAGGGTGCCATGGGTTTCTGGGGGGCTTCGAGGTTTCTGGCGGTGGAAGGCGTGGCGCCCCTACTCCAAGAATCCGTGGACGCCCTGGGGTCTCAGGGTTGGGTTTCTTGTGGACGGGTACTTGTGGTCGGGCTCCTACTGTATCTCTGGGAGCTGCCTGCCCGCGAGCATGACCTGCCGTTCCTCCACCACCCCCCTTGCCTGTGGAGAGCGTTTTTCATTCCCGTGCGATAGCGGGCGTTACCCCTGGGGGCGGCGGGGGGCAGGGGGGGGGAGCGGTGAAGTCATTTTTCGCGCTGGCGCCGACGTCTAGGCACGTCCAGGAATAACGAAAGACTGCTCGGACGTCAGCACAGATCGTGACGTTATCAGGGGGGAGCGGCCGGGGCCGGTCATGGCCGCCATCGCGAGAATATATATATATATATATATATATATGTATATACATACGTATATATATATATATATACAAACGCTCTCGTGGGGTGCGATGGCGAACGCCCCCCAGCCCGCAGGTCTCTCAGGATCACTGGGACGGTGGATGTGCACGGCGAGGGGTTGAATACCAGCTTCAACCCTGCGACCTCCGACGTGGTGAGCCAAGTCAGCAGCATCCCAGGCAGCACGGGGGGGGGGCAGGCTCTTCGTCATCGCTCTCCTTCGTGTTCCTTCGGGCTTCGTTTCGATCCCAGGGGCCCCGACGAACAGCTCTGGCTCCAAGAACCAAGCGCAGAGAACGACTGGGCTTCCTACTGCGATGACGTTTGCTCGACGGCGGGACGCCGACTGTTGGAGTCCCTCTTTCTCGTCCTCGCCCCAGCTACTCGCCCTCCCGCTCTCTCGACTGTGCATCTGCGTGCGTGCGCGCGCGTGCGCGCGCTCCCTCCTCGATCCTGGGCGCGCGCGGCGACTACGTATGACCCCATGGGCGACGGGTACTGCTCTGGCACGGGCGGCCTCGTCTTGCTGCATGCTTTTGGTCGCTCTGCTCGCGCGGGCCGCGGGCCACGCCAGCTGCTCCCTGCTCACGTGTGTGGGCATGGTTTGGCAGATGGTTCGGCAGCGTCTGCAGGGCACCTTGGCACCGCTTCAGTGGGGGAGGAGCGGGTCTCGGCCAGGCTTGGGCCCCAGAATACCCCATGTGCCCCACCCACGCCTGGGTCACCCACTAAAACGACGCGAAGATCGGGACAACATCGGATCGGGATAACTCGAAATCTCTGAGAATCGGCGGGTTTGGAGGATGTATTGGGCGCCGCGGCCGCTCCAGAGCGTTCCGGAACGCTCTGAGAGCGCTCCGGAACGCTCTGGAGCGATTTATCCCGATCCTAGCCCTGTTTTACCCACGAGGTGTAGAATATGCCCCACGCGCACGTCTCCCGCGCCCCTGTCGTCATCCACAACGGCGCCGTGGGTCCATGAGAGGCTGTATCAGATGATGGACTCACAGACGCATGGAGGCAAGTCGACGACGAAAGCCAGAAGCCCGGGGACACATGTCCACCCATGCTCCACCTCACTCTGCGCATCTCAGGCCGGATTCTCTCGGCGATGTGGATATCCATCCCAATAAGAAAAGCGCAAGGCGTTGCATATGTGTATGCATGTAATGACTGTTGCTGGGAGAAAATCACGGAACGTACATATACGTACTCCTTGGAACCCATGCCATGCCTCGGAGCAGAGAGACGTTGTACGAGTACAGCGAGGAGTATATGTAGCCATTTGTTTGCAAACTATTGGAACATCTGAGCCACGTTGCGCAAACAAGCCCGTGGCAGTTTGGGCCATGGAAGAGTTTCTTTCTCTCCTGAGTTTGCTGTGGGACTTCGTTGTGCTCATTCTTAGCGCCTCTTCCTACGTAGTTTGCGTTCTTCTGCTGTGTGTTTCCTTCGTGCTCCCGTGGCGCGCGATCGAGCTGTTCTTCGGCAAAGACGAGAGCGATGATGTTGACGACTTACGATGGATATGTCTGGCGTGTTTCGCTTCCACGGTGGTGGACCTCGTCTGCGTACCGCTTGGGCTCATTGGGGCGATCGTGCCGACGAGGACGTACGCGTACTTCGCAGACACCTGGAGCATCCTGACGGACAAACATACAGAGTTCGTCTTCGGTTTCAGCCCCGAGCTGCGACTGATGTGGTTCTGCCTGTTCTTCCAGGCGCTGGGCGACCTCCTCTGCCTGACCGTGTGTGCTCCCTCGCTGGTGGTGCCGACCAGGCTGTACGCAGTCACCCGGGGCACTGTCGCCAACGTGGGGGTGCTGCGATGGAAGCGCCACCGCGACGACCAGGACCGAAGCACGAGTCACAGCACAAAAACGTGCACTTCCGGGGAGCTCCGCGCGGACCCCCGGAAGCGAATTTTTATTCGTCGGCGAGCCTGGGGGGGAAATTAAAACGACGCGAAGATCGGGACAAATCGGATCGGGATAACTCGAAATCTCCGAGAATCGGCGGGTTTGGAGGATGTATTGGGCGACGCGGCCGCTCCAGAGCGTTCCGGAACGCTCTGAGAGCGCTCCGGAACGCTCTGGAGCGATTTATCCCGATCCTAGCTCTGTTTTAGAAATGAGAAGGGGCGGGATTTTTGAGAAGGCTCGGCAGTCCCCTGGCCGTCTGAGAGATGCTCGAAGCCTTCCCCGAGGACGCACGAAGAACAAACTTCTCGGAAGGCGCGAGAGCTTCTGAGGAGTTCCGCCGCCTCCTGAGAGGGCCTTCTCCTTGTCACTTTCACCCCTCGCTCGCTGATGATGTATGCAATTGTTGTTGTTGTTGCTGCTGTTGTCGCTTGTGCTCTTGTTGCTATTGTTGCTATTGTTGCTATTATTGTTGGTGGTGTTGGTGTTGTTGATGCTGTTGCTGTTGACGTTGGTGTTGGTGTTGTTGTTCGTGTTGGTTGTTGTTGTTGCTGTTGTTGTTGCTGTTGTTGTTGTTGTTGTTGTTGGTTGTTGTTGCTCGTATTGTTGAATTTCATTTCTGAAGAATAATTACTGTTGATCCCCCCTCACTGGTGCAGATTGTTTCTCTCAATCAAAGTGTGCCCCACGACGCTCGCACCCTGTTTTTTGACAGGGAAAGCCTTCGTGCTCAAACTGTGCCCCTGGCCCCCCGGATTACAACAACAACGGCTCCCGCCTGACACTTCCTTCAAATTTACTCAGGACCCCCGCTCCTGAGACTTCCGCACAATTTACTCAGGATCGGTGCTCCCGCATGTGACTTCCTAGCAATTTTGTCAGGACCCCCGCTCCCATCTGAGACTTCCTCACGATTTACTAAGGAACGGCGCTCTCGCTCGAGACTTCCTCGCAGTTGAGTCAAGACTGCCTCGCAATTTAATTAAGACCCCCGCTCCCGCCAGATAACCCCTCACATGTTATTCAGGAATTGCGCTCTCGCCTGCGACTTCCATTTAATGTATTGAGAAATCGCGCGTTCGACGCTCAGGAAACACGCTGCGCCAAGGACGCTGCTACAGTTTACTTAGTAATCGCGCTCTCGCCATACTCAGGCATCCCGCTTGAATGTCCCACCCGCCCGACCCGCCCGTCAGGGGATCGCCCGCCCGTCGTGGGCTCCCGCCCGAGACTTCCTTCAGGAACGGCGCTTTAGCCCAGGACTTCCTCAAACGTTCACGCTGTTACCTTCCTGCTGCTCCTCCCTCTCCTTCTTCCCTCCTCTCTCCTCTCCTCCCTTCTCTCTCCCTCCTCTCTTCCCTCATCCTTAAGCCTCTCTGCCCTATCCCCTCTCCCTCCTCCCCCTTCTCCATTCTCCCTCCCCTCTCCTGCCTCCTCCCTCCCTCTTTCTTTCTCTCTCTCCCCTCTCCCTTTCTCTCTTTCTCTACCTCTCTCATCTGTCTTTCTCTCCCTCTCTCTCTGCCTCTAATCAACCGTTCACCTCTTCGCTCCTTCTCTCCTGGCGTTTTCCCTCTTTCTTCGTCCCCCCCTCCCTTCCTCCCGCTCTCCCTCGTTCTCCCTTCCTGTTTTTGCAGGGCCCACACCAATTCCGATGGCGGGCACATGTACGCCCACGAAGGATTGTCCGCCCGTTCAGGTTCGCCCACCTGTCTATGCCCGCCGCCCCCCGCAAAGAGAACGAATCCTCCAAAGGGGGTGTGATCGAAGACAAAAAGGGCAGGTATCGAGGGTGTGGGGAACTCGTTTTGAATGACACACGGGCAAGTAAGAGCGAACAGTCTTATAATGATGGTTGTTGTTGCTGTTGTTGTTGCTGTTGAATTCTCACTGCTGAAGAATAATTACTGTTGGTCCCCCTACACCGGTGTATATTTTTCCCCATCAAAGTGTGACCCTCAACGCTCGCACCCTGTTTTTTGACAGGGGAAGTCTTGATGCTCCAACTGTGCCCCTGGCCCCCAGGTTACAACAACAACGGCTCCCGCCAGAGACTTCCTCACAATTTAGCCAGGACTCCCGCTCCAGCTTGAGACTTCCTTGCATTTGATTCAGGAATCGCACTGTCGCTAGGGACTTCCTTACAAATTATTCAGGAATCGCTCTTCCGGCGCTCTTGAGTCGCGCTCTCGCTGGAGACTTGCTTGCAATTTACTGACGAATATGGCCCTTGCGTTGGAATCTGTTGTAATTCACTCAAGCGCCGCGCTCCCGACACCCAGGCACCCAGGAGTCGCGCTCACGCTTAGGACTCCCTCACAGATTACTTAGGAATCTGGATCTCGCTGCCCTTCGTGGCCCCGTTGCAGCCCTTCGTGGCCCCCTCGCTTTGTTTCGTGCCCCCGTTGCAGCCCTTCGTGGTCCCCTCGCTTTGTTTCGGGGCCCCGTTGCAGCCCCTCGTGGCCTCCTCGCTGCCCTTCGTGGCCCCGTTGCAGTCCTTCGTGGCCCCCTCGCTTTGTTTCGTGGCCCCGTTGCAGCTCTTCGTGGCCCCCTCGGTGCCCTTCGTGGCACCGTGGCAGCCCCGTTGCAGCCCTTCGTGCCCCCCTCGCTCCGCTTCGTGGCCCCCGTTGCAGCCTTTCGTGGCCCCCTCGCTGCCCTTCGTGGCCCCATATCTGTATGCCCTTGGTGGCCCCCGCTCGTTCGTGCCCGTGGTGGCCCCATATGCATGCCCTTCGTGGCCGCGCTGTCGCCCTTCGTGGCCCCCTCGCTGCCCTTCGTGGCCCCGTTTTTGCCCTCAGTGGCCCCGTCCTTGCCCTCCGCGGCCCAACATACGTATGCCCTTCGTGGCCCCCGCTCGTTCGCGCCCGTTGTGGCCCCATGTGCGTGCCTTTCATGGCCCCGCTGTCGCCGCTTGTGGCCCCCTCACTGTCCTACGTGGCCCAGTTGCTCCCTTCAGTGGCCCCATCATTGCCTTCCGTGGCCCCGCATTATCTGCCCTTCGTGGCCCCCGCTCGTTCGCGCTTTTCGTGGCCCCACGCGTTCTCTTCGTGTCCCCGCTGCCGCCCTTCATGGCCCACTTCGTGTCCTACGTGGCCTTACTGTCGTTCTCTCTCGCTCTCGCTTTCGCTCGTCGTCGCCGTCGTCGCCGTCGTCGTCGTCGTCGTGGTCGGTCCCCTGTCCGTCCCTCTTTGGGGTCGGGTCGACGGTCCGCAGCCGCCCCGCTGATCAGCGCTGCCGCTGGCCAGGCCGACGGTCCGCGGCCGCCCCGCCGCTTGCCGGGGCCCTGCCTGCAGGGAAGAAAGGTATATCCCCCAAAAGGGGTTCGATCGAAGACGAAGAGGGCGGGTATCGAGGGTTTGGGAAATACGCAATATTGGACACTCGAGCAGATAAGGGCGAACAGTCTTAACATGACTGTTGTTGTGGTTGGTGGTGTTGAACATTATTAATTCTAAAGAATAATTATTGTTGGGGCCCCTGGTGCACGGCCCCCCTGCGCCGCCTAGGCCGCGGCTACATTTTCATTATTTTCGTGAGGAAGCCTCAGGTAATACGATGTCATCAAGATCCGGTTGTTTTGTTGTAATCCGTTTTCCCTTGCAAAAAAACACTATAAAATGACATTTCTTGTTCTAATATAATCAAATTTCAAGAATCCCTTGCAAAAAATAAGGTAAAGTGGACATTCGCGCGCGCAAGACGAAATCCTTCCAAAAGCTTAGTGTTCGGAGCGATTTTAACATAAAAACATCAAAAAACCAATGGTTTTTCAACAAAAAAATGTCAAAATCTCATCCCGCGCGCTCTTGCGGATTCGTAGGAAACCCAACACTTTTTAAACATTTCTGTCAAACGGGCTTTTGCGAGCAACTTTTTCGAACTTCTGCGACAACGGTTGCGCACCTGCCAGGGCCATCATCCCTGTCAAATAATACCATGCGGGACACATTCGTTTTTTCTTCGCGCGCGCACGCCGTCGTGTCGGCCGCGGGGCCCTGTAGTAGCCACGGTCGTCCGCACGCCACGAAGTGAAGTGTCCCAACGTCATAGGGCGGGAAGCTGGGTTTGGGTGGTCGCGAAGAGTCGTTTGGATATTTGGTAGAGCTTGTAATGCCCCCCCACGAAGTGGGGGTATTGCCTGGTGTCGTATGAAAACCCTGGCACTGGGGAGAACACCACGCGTTCGGGTAAAATGATTGTTGCTGTTGTTGTTGTTGTTGTGGTTGTTGTTGTTCGCTGTTGTTGTGATGTTGCTGTTGATGTGGTTGTTGTTGTTGTTGTTGAACATTATTACTTCTAAAGAATACTTATTGTTGGGACCCCTGGTGCATGGCCCCCCCGCCGCGCCTAGGCCGCAGCCACATTTTCATCATTTTCGTGAGGAAGTCCCAGGTAAAACGATGTCATCCAGATCCGGTTGTGTTGTTACGATCGGTTTTCCCTTGCAAAAAATAAGCTAAAGTGGACATTTCTTGTTCTAACATAACCAAACTTCAAGAATCCCTTGCAAAAAAAATAAGGTAAAGTGGACATTCGCGCGCGCAAGACGAAATCTTCCAAAACCTTAGTTTTCGTAGCGATTTTAACATACAAACATCAAAACACCAATGGTTTTTCAAAAAAAATTGTCACAATTTCATCCCGCGCGCTCTTGCGGATTCGTAGGAAACCCAACACTTTTTAATCATTTCTGTCAAACGGGCTTTTGCGAGCAACTTTTTCGAACTTCTGCAACAACGGTTGCGCACCTGCCAGGGCCATCATCCCTGTCAAATAATACCATGCGGGACACATTCGTTTTTTCTTCGCGCGCGCACGCCGTCGTCGTCGGCCGCGGGGCCCTGAATAGTAGCCACGGTCGTCCGCATGCCACGAAGTGAAGTGTCCGAACGTCATAGGGCGGGAAGCTGGGTGTGGGTGGTGGCGAAGAGTCGTTTGGAAATTTGGTAGAGCTTGAACCGGCCCCCCCACAAAGTGGGGGTATTGCCCGCCTCCTATGAAAACCCTGGCACTGGTGAGAACGGTGTGTCCCCACGTGCTAGTAATTGTTGTTGTTGTTGTTGTTGTTGTTGTTGTTGTTGTTTGTGGTGTTGCTTTTGTTGTTGTTGTTGTTGTTGTTGTTGTTGTTGTGGTTGGTTGGTTGGTTGGTTGGTTGGTTGGTTGTTGTTGTTGGTGTTGTTGTTGTTGTTGTGTGTTTGTGGTGTTGTGGTTGTTGTTGTTGTTGTGTTGTTGTGGTTGTTCTTGCTCACCACATCCAACGTGGGGTTTTTGTTTTCTCTGGACACCCCGCGCAGGAACCAGAACCAGAACACACCTACATCATCACCCACTCATCACTCATCAGCATCACCATCATCATTATCACCATTACCATCATCATCATCATCATCATCTTCTACGTTATCGTCATGCGATCGCCCACCATCATCATCACCATCAACATCATCATCATCACTCATCATCATCAGCATAATCCCCTTCGTCACCTACTCACTCACTCCTCACATCGTCATCACTCACTCGTCTGTGAGCGAATTGCAAAGAAGTCTCAGGCGGGAGCCTCGTCTGTGAGTGAATTGTGAGGAAGTCTCAGGCGGGAGCCCCCCCCCCCAATGGGGCCCGCAGATCACGTTATTAATCCGAGCGGGTCATCCGCAACGTTTAACTGTCGTCAGTTTTGGGCTCCTCGGGCTTGAATATGGAAGAAGTATCGAGCGGGGGCCTCGTCTGTGAGTGGATTGCGAGGAAGTCTGAGGCGGGAGCTCCTCCTTATGGGGCCCGCAAATCATGTTACGAATTCGAGCGGGTTATCCGCAACGTGTGACTGTCGTCAGTTTGGGGCTCTTCTGGCTTGAGTATGGAGGAGGTATCAAGCGGGAGCCTCGTCTGTGAGTGGTGTGCGAGGAAGTCTCAAGCGGAAACCCCTCCTTATGGGGCCCGCAGATCATGTTACGAATTCGAGCGGGTCATCCGCAACGTGTAACTGTCGTCACTTTTGAGCTCCCTCCTTATGGGACCCGCAGATCATGTTACGAATTCGAGCGGGTCATCCGCAACGTGTAACTGTCATCACTTTTGGGCGCTTCAGGCGTGGATATGAAAGAAGCATCGAGCGGGAGCCTCGTCTGTGAGTGAATTGCGAGGAAGTCTGAGGCGGGAACTCCGTCCTTATGGGACCCGCAAATCACTGTACGATTACGAATCCGAGCGTGTCATCCGCAACGTGTATCTGTCGTCACTTTTGGGCTCTTCAGGCTTGAATATGAAGGAAGTATCGAGCGGGAACCTCGTCTGATTGCGAGGAAGTCTCAGGCGGGAACCCCTCCTTACGGGGCCCGCATATCATGTTCGAATCCGAGGCGGGTCATCGGATTCTACTAACTGTCGTCACTTGGAGGTTTGAGGACCGATTTTAGGACCGATTTTGAGGATCGAAAAGGAACTCGCACGGAGGTGCTTCATCCCACTCGCGGCGCGATCGGGAATGATGACGCATCATGATGGTGGGTCCCGCAGCTACACGGGTCCTCGGGTTTTCGTACCTGTCGTCATTGTTGTGCTATGAGGAGGAGGAGGAGGAGGAGGAGGAGGAGGAGGAGGCGGAGGCGGAGGAGGAGGAGCAGGAGGAGGACGAACAACAGGAATTGAGGAGGACGACGGCGTCCGGGCGCAGAGGGAAACCCTTGCGTCCAGGCTGGGGGTGGTAACCCATCCTCGGCCGAAGCGGCGGCCAGACGCAGGCCGGCGCCTCCTGAACATTCCGAACATGCACAAGACCGGGGACATCCACGGTGTCTTACCGGCACACGTCGGCATGGAGGTCCGGTTCACGGCCGTGCAGGAGGAGCTGAAGAAGAAGTTGGGGCTCGTGCAGGAGCAACGGGCCACCATCGTGTCCTTCGAGTTTCACGCAGACGACGAGCGGGACTACGAGGAGCGCGCGCCGGGCCAGCTCTTCCGCCCCCGCTACCTACCGCAGGGGATCTGGCTGCAGGTGCGCGGCTTCCAGGAGTCCCCGATCTATAAGGAGGGTGCCGAGGTGCTGCAGCAGCGCGCCGATGGCGCTGACGACGACGGCGAGGCCGAGGCGCGGGCGAGGAGCTTGCTCATGTTCAGGCCCAGCGAGCAGGAGCTCACGTGGCAGAGCTCGGGGGCGCACACTGCGCGCCGCTCGGGGTTCACGCTGACGCACGCGCCCTACCTGACTTCCACGCTGTCGCAGGGCCAGACGCCGCGCAAGGGCGTCACCATCGACTGCGCCAGGGGTGAGGACGCTGGCCGCGCGGGCATGTCGGACGAGCAGTGGTGGCTGCACCTCTACGTCATGTTCTCCCGCGCCACGTGCGCGCGGAACATGCTGATCCTGCGGCCGCCCGCGCGGGAGTTCCTGGAGCGCGGGCCGCCGGCGCCCCTGCGGAAGGCGCTCCAGGAGTTCGACGAGAGAGCGGTGGGCTCCAGGGCCGAGGCGGAGCAGCTCGCGGCAGAGCTGGGCTTCGCGCTGCCTCCCGCCTGAGCGCGGCCGCGATTAGCTCGGTGCCTGCGGGGTTGTCCCAACGGCTTGCTCTCGCGCCCCAGCGGCTCGCGGGGTTGCCCCAACGGCCTCGCGATCTAGCCGTCGGCAAACGCGCGCCTGATTGCTGCGGCGGCGAGGGCGCCGAGGAACATCGACTTGCTTTCCCCGACCAGGGGGGCGGGGAGGTGCACATGGAGAAGAGACAGGCGGAGGATGAGGAGGAGGGAAGAGGGACGCGGAGACGGCGATGATGAGGAAGAGGTGGAGGAGGAGGAGGAAGAGGAGGGGGAAGGGTGATGATACATAGAAAGAGGAAGAGAGGGAAGAGCAGAAGGCGAGGGGGGAGTGTCCGCCAGAGGGAGGAGGGAAGGGCTAAGGGGAAGCTGAACATATTCTCATGTGGGGTCCTACCGTCGGAGTAATTGTTGTTTTTGTTGTTGGTGTTGTGGCTGTTGTTCCCCGCATCCAAAGTGGGTTTCTTGTTTTCTTTGGACGCCCCGCGCAGGAACAGGAACCCACCACCATCATCATCATCATCACCATCATCATCACTCATTCCTCACTCACTCAGTCATTCATCATTCCTCACACACTCACTCACTCATTCACTCACTCACTCATTGACTCATCAGCACTCATTCACACACACGATCATGATCTCACATATGATGATGATGATGATGATGATGACGATGACGATGATGATGATGATGATGATGATGATGATGAGTGTGCGCGTGAGAGAGTGTGGCGAGCATCGTCATCACCAGTCAGTCAGTCAGTCACTCATTCACTCACTCGCCTTGGGCTTCGTCTGTGAGTGAATTGCGCGGAAGTCTCAAGCGGGGGCCCCCTCCCTATGGGGCCCGCGGATCATGTTACTAATCCGAGCGGGTCATCCAAATCCTCTAACCCTCGCCATTTTTGGGCTCTCGCGGTGCCATGACGCCACTCCCAGGCCACATGTGTGAGTGAATTGCGCGGAAGTCTCAAGCGGGAACCCCCTCCCTATGGGGCCGCGGATCACGTTACTAATCCGAGCGGGTCATCTTTTTTCTTTTAACTATCGCCATTTTTGGGCTCTTCGCGGTGCCAGAGCGCCACTCCCATGCCACATTTGTGAGTGAATTGCGCGGAAGTCTCAAGCGGGACCCCCCTCCCTACGGGGCCCGCGGATCACGTTAGTAATCCGAGCGGGTCATCTAATTCTTGTAACTCTCGCCATTTTTGGGCTCTCGCGCTGCCAGAACGCCATTCCCGGGCCACATTTCGAATGCCCGGAGCCAACTGTAGGCCACTTCGTGTTCTTCGTGCTCCCAGAACACCACTCCCGGGCTGCATTTTGAATGCCCGGAGCCAAGCGTAAGCCACTTCGTGTTCTTCGTGTTCCCAGAACTTCACTCCCGGGCCAGTTTCGGAATGTCCGGAGCCAAAACAGGAAGGCGAGGTCGGGGGCAACGTAGGGAACGGGGGGGGGGCCCGCGCCAAGGCGAGAAGAAATATACGCAGAAGAGACAGCCAGGACGCCTCACCAACCACGAGGACAACGGTGAGGGTTTTTTTCCAGACTCGCCCAGAAGATTCTCATGCGGGGTCCTTCCGTCGGAGTAATTGTTGTTCATGATTGCTCTTCCGAAAGGAGTACATCTCCCTCCACGGTTTGTGGCTCGCGAGCCCCCTGGAAGGCGCCGCGGAGGCCGCGGCGCTGGCCCTCGGCGCCGTCGGGCTCCTCTCCGGCATCCGGAGCTGCCAGACGCTGACCGGGTGTTGCTAGAGCTGCCCCGCCTGGCCCACGCCCTGACCTTCCAGGAGGGGTGAAAAATAGCACCAGTACCTCGATTTCTTCATTCCAGTCGAGGTTTTAAGCCGCCCAGATAGGTCCAAAGGCCTGGGGCGTTATTGTTTAGCACTCTGGAAGGTGAGGGCGGTTCGGAGAAGAACAAAACACCATAAACGTAACTGGTTGTCGCTTCGCGCGGATTTCCAGGATCGGCGCATGCCCCCCCAACCAGCGGCGCCGCCGGAACGCGCCAGGGAGGGGGGGTCCGGCGCGGATTCCAGAAATCTGCGCGGAGCGGCGAAAGTTTATGTGTACGGTGTTTTCTCTGCGTCCGAAGGTGCCCCCAGGATTTCCAGGTTGGCCCCCACGGCCCCCAGAGCACCCCATCCCGAAGCCCAGAGGGCCCCAGGGGCCCGAAGCTGGAACGCCAAGCTGGGGGCACCTTGGGGGCCGGGGGCGTTCCTAGCAACACCCGCGCGGAAGGACGCCCGCGCCGCCCTTCGGGGAGGTGAGGCCACGGGCTCCACGCCGACCGACGCGGTCTTCAGGAGCCACGGGTTCAACTCCGGCCTGGTCGCGGCCCTGTGCGCCAACGGCGCCTCGGTGGTCGTGGACGTCCTGTTCCTGCCCCTGCTGCTGGCCCTCGGCCTCGGCGCCTGGAGGCTGCCGCCGGTGGCCGCGGAGCTGCGCCGCGGCGTCGGCTGGCGGGCCCGCCGGCGGATCCTGCTGCAGTTCGCGCGGCTGGCCCTCGACCTGCTGCTGGCGGTGCCGCTGGCCCTCGTGGTCGTGTCCTGGCGCCCGGCGCCCCCGCGAGTCGCCCAGGCGGCGCGGGAGTTGTGCGGCAGCGGTTCCGCGGGTGGCGGTTCGACCGAGGGCGCCGCCGACCTGGTAGCCAGGGGGGAAAAGGCAAGCCCATGCCTCCACCATTCCCTCGTTCTCCCGTTTTGTGGCCCTCCGGGGCGGCCCTCGTCGCCACCGCTGGATTCGCCTCGAAGTCCTGGTCACAACGCAGCCCAGGAGAGGGCCGGGGAGTAGCGGTATCGGTACCATTTGGTCTCCCCAGGAAGCGGCGTCGGAGGGAACGGGCTGCCTGGGGCGGTCGCTGCCGGCGCGGGCGCAGACCAGCGGCGAGGCAGTTCGGGAAGAGGGGGGGGAAGATTGCTCGCCTGTCACGGAGTGCCATGCGGAGATCCTGAGATCTTTTGGCCTGGTGGTTCTCGACCTTCTCGTGGCGCCGCTGGTCGTGGCGCTGGCGCTGCTCGCGTTCTACAGGGTGCCCGCGCTCGCTGGCGGCTTCCGAGGTCGCGGCTTCCTGCTGAAAGGACTGCGTTTCCACAGGGAGGTCTTCGTGCAGCTCATCGGGTTCGCGATGGACCTGCCTTTCTTGCTGGTCGGGTTGGTCTTACTTCTCAGCGGATGGCGCGCCGATCTGGCGCTGAGGGCGTGTGGGCGGAGATCGGGGATGACGTATGGCGAGAGGCGGCGGCTCGTTGGCAAGCAGTTCCTCTTCCTCCTCCGGGACGTGGCCATGCTGGGGCCATTCGCGCTCGTGGTGATCACGCTGTACAGGCTGCCCTCGCTGGTGTTAGCGCTGAAGGCCCGCATGTCCAGGCTGCTGGCGGAGGAACCGGAGATGCAACCCGTCGAGGTGCGCCTCACTGTGCCGGACCCCAAGGTCAAGCAGTGGCGAAGCGTCCTGGCGCGCCTATAGGCCTACCAAACAATGTTCTAAGAACCTTTTTTGTAGTTTCCACGAAATGTTCTTAGAATATTATGGCTGGGACTGCCTTGTTTTAACACATCGGGCTTGTGTTCTAAGAGTAATGTTGTTTTTGTTATTAGAACGCTTTTGGGTTTGAAGAATATTTCGTGGTAGGCCTCTAGGAATGCTGGGACGGTCGGCCCTTGCTCAACAAGGGCAATCCCACCTGTGTCGTCCGGGCGTCGAAATCGCCCAACTTGTCGGGGGTCGCCTCCATGCGGCTGCAGATCACAGGCGACGACTTCTGGAAAGCGATCGCCCAGCAGAAGGGCGCCACCATGGCGGCTGCTGCCCGGGCGATGCTGCCACTGGCCCTGCGCCACGGCAAGGAGGTCGATCTTGGGAGCGTGCAGCGCGGACGGGACGAGGCGGAGCTGTCCATCGAGCTGCAGCAGTCGGTCAAGCGCAAGACGGCGCTCAAGGTGCTGCAGGGTCTGCCCAGAGGCGTGGAGCTGCTGGTCCAGCTGGAGGCGCGGCTCGACTCCGGCCGCGACGCGGTGCTCCTGGCGGTGCCGCTGACCGCGGGGCAGCTGGCGGACTGCGTCGCCTCTGCGGGCGGGCGGGTGCAGCAGGTGGCGCAGCCCGGCCTCGGCGAGGGCAGGCTGCAGGAGCTCCGCGGCTCGGCGGCCGGCATGCTGAGGCGCGATGTCTGGTGGGCGCCCGTGCTCGCCGAGGGCCTCCAGGTGCTCACCGACCTGGCCCACCTCGCCCTCCTCGTGGGCCTGCTCGCCTGCCCCTGGCGCCTCGCGCTGGCGCTGGCGCAGCTGTCCGAGACGCGGGGCCGGCGCATGGGCCGCCGGGCGGGCGCGGTGCTGGTGGCGCTGGACTTCTGGGAGGCGGAGTGCAGGCGCCTCATGCTGCGCGTGGTGCCGCTGGCGAACGGCTACGCGAAGGCAGCCGTCCGCGCGGGCTCCGGCCCCGCAGCGGGGACGCCCCGGGGCGGAGCCCGCAGAGCCGAGAGCCGCGCCGCCCGCGACGACGACGACGACGACTTCGAGCAGGGCCTGGAGACGTGCATCGGCGTCTGCTGCTGCGTGGTCTGCCCGTGCTGCCCCAATTATGCCGACTTCGACTCCGACTCCGACGTTTTCTCCGTGCCCGCGCGATCCTCCCGCGGCCGCGGCCACGGCGGCGGGAGTGCCGCAGACGCGCTGGACAGGAGGCTGAAGCGGCTCGGTCGGCCGCTGGTGGCGGCGCGCACGCTGCTGCGCCAAACGCGGAAGCGCTGGCCTGAGGAGCCCGAATGGGGTTTCCTCAGCGACGCGGTCGACGCCCGCCTCGAGGCTTGGTCTCAAGCATTCTTCTGGACGTTGCTGCTGCCCGAGGTTCACCTCCTCCTGGCCGGCCATAAGATCACTCGGGACGAGCACTCGAGGCTCTGCCAAGCCATCCGGAGGAGAGCAGAGCCTCAGGCGCGAGAACTTCGCTGCGCCCTCCAGCTGCAGCAGCAGATCGCTTGCGAGCAGTTTCGGTCCCGCAGGAAGGCCCAGTCGACGTGCTACTCCATCATTCGGGAGCACACGTTCAAGAGCATCACAGACATCCTTGCGCTGCCAGCCGTCCTGCTGCTGGGAATGACCATTTACAGGTTGCCGAACTTGTCGGCTGGGCTCGCGAGACCATTCGACATGAGGCGGTTCAAGACAGCGGTGAAGTTACAAGCCGTCGGGTTGGGAAGCGACATATTGGTGCTCATGCAGTTCCTTGTGCTCGCCGCGCTGTTGGCAGGCACTGTCGTCAAGCTGCCCGACTTCCTCTGGGGCCTCCAGCCCGCGCGGGGGCTCCGCAAGGCCCGCGGCTGGGCGCTCGCGAAGGTCAGCGAGTTGGTTGTTGGCCTCGCCGAGCTCATCACCTTGCTCTTCGCCTGGAAGGCGTACAGGCTGCTGGTCACGGCAGTCGTCTTCGTCACCCTGACTCCAGCGGCCATGTTGGCGCTGACCCTGCCGCGCAACTTGCCGTCGCGCGTCCGCTTCGGGCTGGCCTCTGCCGTTTGGCTCGGCGCCGCGGCCCTCGGCTTCGTCGTCGGCGACCTGGCCGGGCTCGCGGCCGCGGCTGCGCTCCTGGCCACGGCCTCTGCTGGCCTGGCGGCCAACGAGGCCCTCCATGGCCCGGAGGGGTGGGCAGTGCGCCGAGACGGGGACTGGTGGAGCCCGCAGGCACGATGGACGGCACCGAACCTCTTCGCGTTGATGGGCATCGTGGCGGACGGCGCGGTGATGTGCTGGGCCGGGGCGGCCCTGGCCAGCCTGGCGCCTGGCCCCGCCGAGCTCACCGGCGCGGGCGTCGGACCAGCTGCCGCGGGCGTTGGCGTGGTGATCGCAGCGCTGCTTCACATCACCCTGCCGATGGTCGTGGAGGAGGAGGAGCGGGCCGACGTCGTGGAGGACGCGGCCTGGCGCGCAGCCCGCCAGCTGCTCCAGGAGGTGCTGTTCTTGCCGACGGTGGCCGTCCTCGCTCCCATGACGCCGCGCCACCCGGCCTGGACGCTGCCCCTGCTCTACTTCGCGGTGGTCGCCGCGCTCTCCCCCGCCGCGTGGGGCACGCCGCTCTCGCGGGCCGGGCTCCTGGATATCCGCACGCTCGGCCTCGCCTCGAGCGGCAGGCAGCTCCTGCTGGCGGCGGCCGTCGTCGTGGCCGCGCGCGGCTGGCGCCTGCCCTTCGCCTCGCTGGCCGCCGCCGCCGCCCTCTGGACGCTCGCCTGGACGCCGCGGGGCGCCGCGGTGCGCTGGGCGGAGCTGCTGCGCGCGGGCGCCGCCCTCGCCGCCGCGGGGGCCGCGCTGGAGGGCCTGCCCCGCGGCCCGCTGGTGGCGGCCGCCGCCTGCTGGGCGGGGCTCACGGCGGCCTTCGCCGCCGCGTCCGGCTGGCGGCGGCGCAGGCACGCAGCTGCCCCGATACGCCCGCCCCGAAACCGCGACACGCACCTCGTTCGGAACGGCCGTGCTGACACGCTGCGCGCTGGCTCGGCGCGTTGGCCCGGGTTCCGGCGAGCGCGTGGCGCCAGGCGCGCGTCGTCGGTCTGCGTGTCGGCCTCCATGCCAGCACGCTTGGCGCTTCGTGTTGCGTATCGGGGCGGCTGAGCGCAGGCAGCTGGCGGCGACGGCGGTTCCGCAGGCCGTCGAGACGCTCGGGCTACTCCAGGCGCGGCTGTCCCTCTGGGGCGGCGATGGCCCGCAGCACCGCGTGGCGCTCGGCGCCTCGGTGCCGGGCGCGGCCGCGGCGCTGCTCGACCTGGAGGAGCGCACGCCCTTCGACCGCCTGCGGCTCGGCTTCCTCCGCGCCAGAGACGGCTGGCGGGCCCAGCTGCGGCGCGCGGCGGACTATGGCGACGTCCTCGCGCAGCTGAAGGAGCTCGAGGGCGCCCTGACGGAGCCGCCCACGCGCATCCTGATCCAGCAGGTGAGCAGTTCCAGCGCACGGCCCCCGGTCCTCCGGACCCCTTCCGGGGGACGAGCTTCTCATCCCAGACCGCTCTTCCATGGAGCCCGCAATTGGACACTGGGTGCTGCGAGTAGTGCAATCCGCTCTGAGCTGTCCAGGACGCCGGAGGTCTGGGGTCGTGCGTTCTGACCCTGGACCTGCCCTGAGGGGTGCAGTCCGACCAGGACTTCGCGGGCCCACCCCGCCGCATCGTGACGAGACGCCTCCCGGAGGCCCCCCCCCCCGAAAAAAGGCCCCGAACGCCTCGACCCCCTCGACCCCCTCGAGCGCCTCGAGCGCCTGCTCCCGCAAGGTGCTCGAGCGCATGCCGCTCGCGCGTGGCCGCCGCCTGCCCGCGCCCCTTGCGGCCGAGATCGCGGCGCTGGCCGTGCCGCGGCCCGGCGCCAGGCCGCCGGAGCCCCCGCGCGGGTGGGAGCACGGCAGGC